CATTTAAAAGCATGTCAAAACCATGCTAGACGTGCAATTTGCTGGAGCCTGCACTGGTGTTGCCTCACGAACTTTGTTTTTATGGTTAGGGTTTTTCAGAGGTAGTGTTATTGTGCCCAGTGTGTTGCGACGCACTGACGTGCAACTGTTTGCTCGTTATGAGCATGCTGTCTTCAATTTTGGAGGTTCAGTATGGGTACCCTAGATGCAAAATGAGACTTAAGGTCTTTAATGTCACACAGGCTACCACTTTGGTGCATCTTCTGGTGAGAGCTATTCTAGTTCGCCAGACAATGGAACAATGGAACAATGGTATATGACGGGTAAAAAAGCATACACTTAACGAGTCCCGCAGGTTGGCAATAGAAATACTAACAGATTGGCAAATCACATAAGTGGTTGAAGTAAGGAGCGTCAGTGAGATAAAAGGTAGAAGTATAACAGTTTTAGGGGGATAAAGTGGTACGACGCAAAACTGGCTAAGAAATTGTTATCGTTGGCGATGGTAGCAAATAAAAATGGAGTACTCACCGGTTCGCACAGATTTACGACCGTGAATTTGGGGTATAAATCCAAAGAGGCTGGTCAGCCTAAATATATACAAGCGTTTTCGTTCATAAAACAAAGCGCAGGGGGCTCAGTACGACGTCCAATCGTTTTTAAACGTATCTAATGTTAGGGCACAAACAACTGAGTTTGGAAGGGCGTTCCAGGGCCCGCAGACCTGGAGGGAGAAATAGGTTCTCCGACAGTCTAGACGACTGTACTGATGGCTCAGCTTTAAACTGTTACCGCGAAGGTTAGTGTTTGGGCTGAGCTTCAAGAGGTGGCGGCATACGTGACTGGGATCGCTCAATATCTGGTACACTAGTATGAGGTCTCCACGAAGTCGCCGGTACCGTCCGCTGAACACTCCGAGTATCTCCAGTCGTTCATGGTAAGGAGTGTGGCGCAAGCCCTTGACGATTTTCGTTGCTCGACGCTGTGGGGTCTCAAGCGCTGCAAGGTCACGTTTTAGCCAGAGTTGCCAGGCCTGGATTACATATTCGACGTGAGGACGCACGTAGGCATTCAGCATCAAAGAGAAGATGGATGGATCCAAAATTCCGAATGCTCTTCGCAGGAGTCCAACGTGCTGGTTGCCCCTTTTAGAAGCGGAATCTGACTGTTTGGAACACCCGAGGTCTTCCTGTACCAGCACAGCCAAGTCGCGTTCCTGAGTGGTGGTCTTCAGATCGTGTGCCCCAAGCTTGTAGACGTGGACTTGTCGATAGCGGATATGAACAACGCGACATTTGCTCAAATTAAACGGCAGGGCGTATCTCACCGACCAGTTCCAGGCCACATTCAAGTCACGCTGTAGGACTTCATGGTCGTCCGATCGTTTTAACGCTCGCCAAACCTTGAGGTCGTCCGCGAAGGGTAAGAATTTCGCCGTAATAACTCTTACTAGATCGTTAATGAAAAGCAGGAACAAACGTGGCCCAAGTACCGAACCCTGCGGTACGCCGCATCCCACTCGAATTGAATCGGAAAAGGATGATCGAACTCTAACTTCTAACTGCCGTTCAGAGAGAAAGTTACCGATCCATCCTAACAACGGGTCTCCGATACCGTACTGTTGGAGTTTAATGAGCAGGACTCGATGATCCAGGCGATCGAAGGCTTTCGAAAAGTCCAAGAATGCGACATCGACTCCTGTTCCCTCATCGACAGTCTCGATCCAGTTGTCACGAGCTATCAGCAGATTCGTCATACATGAACGATGTTGACGAAACCCATGCTGTTCTGG